CACGCCGCAATCCCTTCTCCTCCATTCTCCTCTCGGGATCTTGGGCACGCATGCACACGTGCCCAGCGTGAGTTTAAGCTACCAGGTCCGGGATGTGAACCATGGTTGACTACATGGGAGTCCAGCGACATAGCCATTACACCATTTGCTAGTCCCCAGAAGTCACACCTTCTATCACGCCCCTCCAGAGGTAGGATGTGTGGCCTCACCCAGTGGCTGCCTGCCCCAATCCCCAGGGAAAAGGCTCGTTGACCTGGAGGAGATGCTGGGCAGACACAACCAGATCCTGCAGGCTCTCCGGGGTCTCTCTGAGCAGTTGGCCCAGGCCGAGAGGCAATGGAAGCAGCAGCTGGGGTCTTCAGGCTGGCCCAAGCCTGAGGGAGGCTGGGTGAGTGGTCTCTCGAGCCTCCGAGGCTCCATCTGCAGGCCTGGTCCCACGGCACAGCGGGCCCCCTTTCCCGAAAGCAAGCAAGCACTACACTCAGGGACCAGTCTCCCCAGGGTCTGGAGAGCAAGGAGGCCGGGGTGAAAAGCTGCAGGGTGCAGGCACAGGGGGTACGCGGTGTGGTGAGGAGCTTGCAGGAGCGCAGCTCTGCACAAGCAGATGCCCACGGAGCCACGCGACGGCGCTGGGTAGGAGAGCTGCCAGGTATCTGGGACTGGGTCTGGAGATGAGAGACAGAAATAGACTGAGTGCTAATTTGCATGTAGCTTCACATGCTGTTTGCATAGGGCTTGCTTAATGCTCAGTTGCACCAAAATCCTCGGTTCATCTCCACCGCCATCTGGCAATGCCCCTGGGGAGTCACGTCCCAGGGCACGCCCAGCCGGGGGCCCCAGGAGCTAAACTCAGCCAAGGTGTTAGGTACTGGGCAGAGAGGCCAGTCGCTCTCGTGGGCTTTGCTGGGTTCTGACAGCTCGAGGCTTTAATCTCGTGTCCTCGGGCCAGAGCAGCTTAGGCTGGGCTGCTAGAGCGGGAAAGCAGGGAGGGAACCCGTGCTGAGGGCTAGGCCTCTGTGATCACACCTCCAGGCCCTGGACCGTTCCCGCCTGATTCCCTCCACCCCAGAGAGGGGTGCCACCTCTGCAGGTCACTCAGCAAGACAGGGGCCAGAGCACTAGGAGCTGACCAGCACTGGCCCCAGCCTGGGAACGGGGATCAGAGAGGGCTAAACGGGCTCTGCTCATCAAGGGGCAGAGCCATTGCTAGAAAGGGGAGGAGTCTGGGGCCAGCCCAACACGCAGCAGTTAAACACTGCTTTGGGAGCTGGGTCCCACATGGCCGACAGGTTTGAGTCTCAGCCCTGTGCTTGAAGAACACGCCAGGCACATGCACATGCTCAGTGTCCCGATGTGGTGGAGAAGAGGCGGAGGAGGGGAGCGCAGTGTGACCACGCCCCTTGGGGAGATTCTCTGTCTCGCTCGCTTGCTCTCTCATGAGTGCATGCTCCTTCTGTCAAAAGGAGGGCATGCAGAGAGGGGTTGTGATCAAGCCCAGGTGTGGCCATCAGTAGAGGAAAACAACCACCTGTGAGAGAGGTCTGAGCGGAAGGGAAATCCAGAACCCCAGAGGGATGGGGTCAGAGGAACTCAGTGTGTGTAAAATGAGGAGGACCCAGGTAACCTAGGAAGGCCTCTGGGAGGAGGAGGACTGCAGTGTGCCTGGGGAAGGTGGGCTGGGAAGAGAGGGGCTGTGCCTGGGGCCCTGGAGAAGAGGTTGGCTCTCCCGCAGGACTCTGCCAAGGTCAGCACCCTGCTTCGTGGACAGCATACTCTGCTCCATGCCCTGCGAGACATGAGGTAAGAGACAGGCTGAGGGGGCCTGGAGAGGGAGGGGAACCCTTCCACTGGCTTGCATGCACATGTACGCACATGCGCGCGCGCACACAGACACACAAACTCAGATGCCTGGGGTAGAGCAGAGCCCAGGGGAGCCTGTGGTGAGACAGACAGCTTCAGGGAGATCCTTAGCCCTTAGCTGAGACAAAGTTGTCTCAGGACCGAGGAAGGCAGTTTGGGGTGAAAAGACCAGCTCCCAAGAAGGGGCCCAATCCCTTGGGATTACTGGAAAGCTTACACAAGCTGGTTGCAACCAGAGGGGTGATGAGACACTTCCCTGGGCTTCTGCCCCCAGGGACGCAGCTGCCCGCATGGCCTCAGGAGCCCAGGTCTTCCACCTGCCTGTGGGGACCGAGCATCATTTCTCGGAGCTGGCCCAGATCCTGACCCTCCTGCAGAAGGACCTTCGGGACCCAGTGGTGAGGGGGAGGTGGTAGAGGGAGCCTGGGGGCCGTCCCTGAGGTCTGGGCTCAACTGCCCTCGGCAGCATCACTGCAGCCCTAGGCCCCTGTGACCTGTGGCCTTCCCTCCCGGGGCCCCATGTCCGTGTCTGCATGCATTCGTGTGCTGGGACAGAGATCTCTTCTCTGGAAGCCCCCCGGCCCCACCCCCTCAGTGACCTGGGAAGTGCGGTGGGCCGTACCCGGGAGCACACAGAGGTGGTGGTGGAGCCACCCTCCCAGAGCCCGGCCCCCTGCTCGTCCCTCACCCGCCCTGTGCTCTCTACATCTCTGATTCAGCGCCCAGTGATCTGGGCCCCAGGCCTTCTCGACTGTTCCCATGGATGGAGCCAGGGAGCTGGGGTGCAGAGGTAGCTTTGTATGCTGCTCCCTCCCCAGGCTCTCTGGATGAGAGCCAGGCCCCCCAGGCTGGGAGAGGAAAACAGAGCCCACACATGGACATGGCCAAATCCCAGGCCCCC